ATTTCATCAATAAATAGATCAGTATCGAAATGATCGTTCTCCATTTCAGCACATATATCTCAAAGCGCTCGGCTGACGCCCGCAAAACGCGCGATCGCATGTACGGTAACATGGCAGCACATATATCTCAAAGCGCCCGTAAAGCGCTCGCAAAACGCGCGTTTTAACAAAAATCTATAAGCGCTCGCAAAACGCGCGTTTAACGCGCGCTTGGCTTTTGAGTGTGTACGGCTACATAGAACTCTTGGTTCTTTTAAACGCGCGTTAAACGCGCGTTGAAAAAAGCCTAGTGTGTACAGGGTCTTATTGACTATCTAAATTTTTGCCTTCTCCGATTTGGTATTATTTATGGTTTTATTAGTTTGCCGCAGATAACTAAGAATATCTTATCTTTAAATGTATATTAACAATAATAAAAAGTTTACCTTTAAGTGAACAATTTTACGAATAAATTATTATTTTAGAATCGAACGTATATTTTCGATAATCAAATTAATTAATATAGTCCGAAATTTTGTTAGAATTCGAAAATAATACAGGTAAACAATTAAAAATTAATACGAATGTGAAATATTAGCAATATATACCGTCTTACGTTTGAAAATTACGAAATACGTAATGTGTACTTCCTCCGAAAAGTACGTAAGTCGATCTCTTTCATCGATATCCCGAAATATATGCTTTCCTGGAAACGTGAATGCACGTCCAGTGTTTCTTAAAACTAAGAAATCATTCGAAGTAAGATGTCAAAAACACAAACTAGGCCAAAGATATTTTCCCTAGTTTTGAAATTCGTGAACGGCAGATTGGTCTACATACTGGTATTTAATTTTAAAATATTAGAAAAGTCGTCAAAACTCGAATACTTGTGCACATTATATTCCAACCGAGTTAAATACTTCTGAATAAATTATTTGATCTACCTTTCTAACTTTGTTTCATTTTTCAGTTACATAATCATCTGAAAAATTAAGCAAAATTGCTAATTAAGTGGACTTCATTATGATTAAAAGTATTATTAATAATTAAATTAGTAATTAGTAATTAATTTATAGTAATTAAACGCCCTTCTAATAAGAGCCTTAAATGCCGACAGTTTGTAAGCGGGCGGATCATTGGACGAGGAAGGAATGTATAATGAGTCGTGCGTAGGTTTAATGTATACCTTTGTGGTTAAGGAACCGTTTTCAAATGCAATGTTAATGTCTAAAAAATGAAGCAAATTAAACGCACAAGACGTTGGTTGGCTGACATCGGGTTAATATTAACAAGAGCCGACAAAAGTAAACATTTAGTAATAATGAATAAACAACGTTACACAAGGACTCTGGAAGAGTATATAGAAAAAACGAATGTGAAAGGGTGGACCACAGCATAGTTGACAAATTGGACAAGAAGGTCAGAAGGTTAGAGAGATCACCCATTGCCCCTATCTTTCCATTTCTCAAAGGAACCAGCATCACAGGCCCAGGTGTACCTAGACTGTTCGGATTCACAAAAACTCACAAGAATAACAAGGAGATCAGACCTGGGCCCTTAGTCTCGAGTTTTTCGTGTTACAACTCCCAACGTGTTGAAGGTGTCACGTGGTACCATCTCACACTCTGACGTCAAATCGGTAGTCTCCAGTTATAACTCACATGCTTTCCCATCTCACCATGCGAGTTGCTACTCACGTTGAGTCGAGCATGTGAGATCGCTACACGAAAGTGAAAATGGCTGACAAATACGCTATTCTGATGGCAATCGAAGCGTTAGAAAGAGCCGAAAGAGTTGTTTAAGATGTCANGATGAAGAGAGTGAGTAGTAGACTATAGGGATGTTGAGTGTAGTTTAGAGGTTTTTTAGCTGCTTTTTCAGCTTTTTCAGCTGCAAATTTTGCTAATTTTCGAGAAGATATGAAGATTATTTTGGACATCAACATTTTTTTAGTGTGTTTCTCGTTTATGCAAAATTGATTTAACACGGTGTGGCTGCACACGATGAAAGTTTTATGACAGCAATTAGTCAGAAAGCATGACTCTTCGCAACGAATGGGAAAGTTTAATGATTGTTATAAAATATCTCTGCTTGTTATAAATGCTCATTAAATGGCTAGAGATGGGCTGTGTTGCTATTGATGGATTGTTATGACTCTTTGATTATTATTTTTTGGCTAATTCTACTTCATCTACAACGCTAAAAATATGCCTAAATCATCCAGTATCATCATGTGGGATCATACAACTTCATTTAGAGTTATGGCATTGCTACTGATTGATGATATACACCATTTAGAAAACAGTACTTAGTTAAACTTAATAATCGTTAAGTTAATGAGATGAAGAGTATGATGATTGATAGTTAAAATAATGTGAAAGATGATTCAGAACAGTTCAAAGTATCGTTTAAGGACGATGATGATAATTTAGAAGAGCGTGAGAAATGTGTCAGTGTGTGAATTTAAGATAAAGAGATCGTTTTTTTAGTAATGGTGATCGACAGGTAGATAATTTATGCTGGAAAATAAATAAAGTAGGATTGCATATAAATGAAATAAAATATTGTAACGAAGATTGCTAATAAGAGATACTTATGGAGAAAATATAAACAAAACAACTATTTATTGTGATATCGTCACAATGGCGGGCTGCAATTTTTATAATATTTTAATTTATTTAGTTTAAAATATATGCTCTCCACCTGAAATTAGTAACGGCTTGCTCTCGTACATCATACTTTCCCTTTGACAATAAAGTCGCGCCGGTCATCTATCTAACTCCTTTCGGGGAAAAGATTTAAATTGAAATTACGCAACTTTCAGTGTAAACCGGAAGTTCATATATAGTCAGTCGGGGGTTTCCTACCACTAAAGTTTTTCATGTTTGTGTCCGATTTCATCTATCTAATTCCGTTCTCGAAATTAAGGAAAGACAGACGGACGACAGTGAGAATTTATGTCTGTAATTGTTTCAAATTGCAGTCCAACAAGCTGTGCGGAGTTAATTGTGTCGATGAAAAGATCGAATATAGCATACGAAAAATGTGATCGATTTAAATGTTATTTTTATTTTCCATAAATCTAATTATACATAGAATATATATGATACTTAATTTCTAAATATTTGAAATACAAAATTTTTTTATAACTTGGAGTATATAATACAAATTTTATGTCAAATTATTTGTTTGATATATATTAACAGAGATTACGTTTTTTTTTTTTTTCATTTATACTCGTATATAATATAATATCGTAAACAGCAAAATTACAAATAAATTGAATTTCAGGATTAGGAAAAAATTAGAAGCATTTCAGAATATACCAGAACGTTCATGCATTGTACGTCAAGAAGATAAACAAATTCTATCAGCAGTAAAAAATACAAAGGTAATTTTCATTTTAAAAACTAGCAAACATCTATGAAAATTGACGTTTTTATAGTTTTGTGAATAAAACGTATACAGCGATATAAATATTATTTCAATTTAATTTCTACATATTTCAATTACAAAAATTTTCTATAATTTGGAGTATATTAAATTTAAGCGTAAAGAACAAATCTTCGTAGTAACTTTGCAATAAATAGTTATGCGTATGAAAATAACGTGTGACATGTATTATTTTATTAACTTTTAGAATGCAAATTTTATTGTATGTTTACTGGATCATGATACATAACGTCAGCATAGAAAATTAAAAATCTAAACTTATGGATGGAGATGTCCTTTCAAAGTTTTACAATAGTAGGTATGCTAATGTAATTTGAATGAATAGGCTATTCAAATTCGGCGTACTAAAGTATCAGTTACGAAATAATACAATAAAATTCCTTTAATCCAAATTTACTTTATTATTCAAATTTCTCAATATATATTGCATATATTGTATTGCATTTTGTATATTTCAACGAGTGTTTTTAGATCTTACACTACAAGTGTTTGTAGTGTAAGATCTTGTATGTGACCAGTGTTTTTCAACCTTGAATACGCGACCCCTTTACAAGTTAAAAAATTCTAGCGACCCCTCTAGGGGCATATTTTTTTTTGTTTTTTACTCTTTCCGCCCTGTGGGCACTAAGAGGGCCTCTTTTTGCAAGCCCATTATGAGTTCGGCCAGGACCCCAATGGGGCTACCTGGTGGTGAGGGACAGGGTCCGATATATCCGAACGGACCATCCCCCCAAAAATTCTTGGGGATTATTCGACCCGTTCGGATTCGAACCCGGGTCCCCCAGAAAGGTAGGCTATCACCTTGACGCTCGGCCATCCGGTCACTACCCTAGGGCCATATTAAAACTGTATCAGTGATTTTAAAAACTATGTATTTAATTTTCTTTCTGTTGAGACAAANTTCTCTACAGCAGGGGTGGCCAACAAGTCGATCTCGAAGCCAATTTTGGTCGATCGCTCGCGAGTGTTACACCTGTAACCGAACGCAACTGTAGTGATATCGGATCTCCGCGTCCTCTCTCAGATGCGGTTTTGTCGGTCCAAGTGCAATCCAAGTGCGTACAGTTGTAAAAGGGGAATAAGAAATGTAGACAAAGGGTTGTAAAACGAAAAAAAGAAAGGCGGGAAGAGAGAGACAGAGAGTAGGTCGGGACACGGTAGAGAGAGGAAGGGTGAAGTGGTGGTCCCCGAAAGTGACAACGTTTTAAGTTTCAATTTTTCTTCTGTTTAAAATGTTAGTACTTTTCTTCATGTTTTAAATTAAATTGTGGCTTTTCTTACCTATCTAAACATAGTATGTATTTCACACCTCCCCTCGCCACTTAGACTATGCCTACGACAACAAGTCGATCGCGACATATTTTTAAGATAAAAAGTAGATCTTATGTATACAAAAGTTTCCACCCATACTTTACAGTATATATACAATACTGCAAAACTTCGGTTATACGCTTTTCAAAGGGTCATCTGAAAAAAAACGCATAAATAAAAATGCGTGTAATTGGAAATCAGTGACAAACTGCTCACTATGCACGTGAGGCATATATCTAAAGGCTCCATATCTCGGGTCGTGAAATTGGAAAAATTGGAACAGCTTTACTATTGCAATTGCATATCATAATTTATAAATAATTTTCCAACTAAAGTTAGACATTATTATTTTATGATCTCGTGAAATTATGCAGAGGAGCCCACAATCTTTTGTGCCTAGGGACTCGAAAGATTTTAATCTACCATTGAACGCAAATACCGACCACTCTGCCGGAACTACGAGGTCGCATTAACAATGCATTCGCTCGAATTGACAGGGGCACATTGCACCAGGTGTAAGATAAATGGGATGAATTAGATTACAAAGTTTGTGTGCAAAATCATTAAGATACAAAATACGCAGTAATAAAGTTATTGTAACCGCTGAAATCATTATAGGTGCCCTATATATAGCTTAAACAGAGAAATTTTGATATGAAAAATATGACAGTATGCAGATGTTTTGTTAATTTATACTGTATATGTTTTCTAAAACAATCTTTTTACACGTATAGCTTATTTTAAAATATAGTTTTGCCAATACGAGCTAGTAAACCATGGCTTGGAATATCATTATGTAAAAGTATAATTATAAAAAAATTTAAAAAACACTATGACCCTAGCTGAAAGAAAAAAATTTTGTGGGGCCCGCTATCTATTACGGGGTTGTTAAAAATAATTTTTATGTTATTAATTGTTGTAAAGGCATAATTTTGAGGATAGAGAAGAGTTTTTAAAAATATTGTAAATGCCAAAAACGATTAAAATTTTTATTAAGTACAACCCGAGTCGAGGTATAACACACGAGTCCTGTTCATCTCCCTCTCCTTCGAGTTTCGTAGTCCAAAATTTAATAACATCGATGTCCCTTGTATACAATTACCGTGCCAAATTTAGTTTTTTAATCGTTGCCTTGTCCCGAGATATTAAATGAAATAGACGCCAACACACACATACACGAAATTTTCTCCTCATTTTGGATTTTTTGTGTTCGG